TTTTTTCTTTTTAATTTGCACATTCAAATACATACACATACAGGGAGCATTATATATACATAGTTTTCTATAAGTGTGTGTGTTTGTGTATGTTTCTGCATGTGTGTGTGTGTATGATATGATTGGCTATAAACATTATCCCTGCCAATTATTAAGCAAAATTGAAGGAATACTGTAACAGTTGCATACTATAGAGCATACCAAAACTAATACAACCCAATCTTCTTCCACCTCAATTCAACATGTGTGTCCATGCATATAGAAACACACACTCATACAAATGTACATAGGCTACATACATATATACACGTACATGCATTTTGTTCCTGGTGAGTAAAGGACATGGCTTACTGATATTATTTTTTCTTCTAATGCCAAATGATAAAGTTGCCATACTATATACAAATCAATGTTGGGAGGACAATCCTCTAACTCCAACCCTTCCTCAAGCTATTAGTTTACTATTGAATATAATATGTGTCTGAATTTGTATTGTGGTATCACTCATTTACTGTAGAGAGTTAATAAAATAATTGTTAAGAGAATTTAAATGAATCATCAATTCTTATTTATAAAAAATCTTGTTTTTGCCTCATTAAACAGAGGAAACTATAAGATGAATAGTGATAACTCTAATACTGTGAGTCAATCATCATTTTAAAAATGAAGATATGCCGCAGAAGATATACCTTCATTTTAAAAATGAAGATCTATACCGTGTAAGATCAGTACATTTTTTTCCCGTTTTCCATTCCTAAACATTGTTAATGAAATCTAGGTATTCCTGCAAACCACACCTATGATCATTATTTATGTAACTTAGAGTTGATTTTAGGCACTTGTTTCTGAATGTGTTAACCTTTCATGCTTTGCTTTTGGAATTCCTTCACAGCCTTTTACTACTGAAAATTGTATTGTGAATTATCTAGACCAATTATATCTGCTAAGGAAACTTAGAAAATTTGGATGGTGTTCTGATGAATCAAAGACAAAGAGATAGTTCAAGAATTGAGTCTAGAAACAGGCTTCCCTTTTTTGTATAGAATATATATACATTTATGTGTATGTGTGTGTGTGTGTGTTTATGAAAAAGTACATAATAGTAAAATAAATGCTTCCTGAAATAAAGTTTCTCTCTGGTTATAGTCTCTCTACACTATTCTAGTTACTTTTTATTATATAAAACTTATACGGCTTAAAACAATGACCATTGGGCAAGTATTCTGTTCTTCTTCGTATTGAATGAGGTCACAATGAGGTATTCAGTTGAGAGTTGGGTTAAGCTGTAGGGTCTCTCATAACTGGCATCAGGATGAGAATGCCTAGAAAGATGGGTTCAGCTGGCCCCCTTCCCTCTCCGTGTAGTCTCAGAGCCTATCACAGCGTTTATCCAGAAGGACAGTTGGACTTCCTACATGGCAGCTCATGGCTTTCAGTGACTGTCTTTTTAAAAGCTAGACTCAGAAGTGATATACAGTATTTCTGCCTATTTCTGTTAGTCAAAGCAGTTAAAGAACAGCAAAAATTCAACAAGAAGGTAAGTAGGCACTATGACTCTAAGGGAAAGGTGTGAAGATGTGTGCAGTCATCTTTACTCTGCCCGAACTATCATCAGCCCATTGTAGAACTCTGAGATTTCTCATTCCAGATTCTTTTATTAGTAGTTTTTAACGCTTTAAGTAAATACATGAGTATATGTGTAACCTTTAATTCTTTATTTTGCACACACACACAAAGCCACAGAATGAAGCAGTACTTGACCAGCAAACATATAGAAGGAAAAGTGATAGGCGTTTCAATAATTATTGTCTTTGTGAAAGCAGGGTTAGCGCTGGGACCTTGGAAAGCAGCCCAGTCATACCAGATTCCAAGATGGATAATCAAGGTTTAAAAAGTACGGAGAGCCGGCTGGCCCTGTGGCTTAGTGGTTGAGTGCATGCTCTCTACTACTGGCGACCCGGGTTCGGATCCCGGGCACGCACTGACGCACCGCTTGTCCAGCCATGCTGAGGCGGTGTCCCACATACAGCAACAAGGAGGATGTGCAGCTACGACATGCAACTATCTACTGGGGCTTTGGGGAGAAAAAGGGGGAAAAAAAAGGAGGAGGATTGGCAATAGATGTTAGCTCAGGGCCGGTCTTCCTCAGCAAAAAGAGGAGGATTGGCATGGATGTTAGCTCAGGGCTGATCTTCCTCACAAAAAAAAAAAAAAAGATTTTTAAAAAAAGGAAGTATGGAGAATTTGATTGTTATCTCTTGGGAAGTATTTGGGGAGGATATGAAATTCAAACTTAAAACTATTGTCAGTTTCTTAAAGAATTAGTAAGGATAGCAGCAAACTAAATTTATTCTTGGAAAAATGATTATCCATGCAAAAATTTTAACTGAATCATCCTTGCACATAGGAACTATATTAGTAGAAAAAAAATTCCCAAAGTTAGTGTATTTCTATTAGTACACCACCTTCCACTTCAAGTAACCTAAAATATTTAATAATAAATATTTAGGGAATAATTATCTTTGCAAATCCTTGTTCTAGGGCATTTGGGAAATATAAAAATAAACATTGAACTTATTTATAAAGGCTTAAATGTAATAGAGATTTTTATATGAATAAAATAAACATAATTCAAGAAAGAGTGTGCTAAGCCTAGAGAATGTGAGAGAGTTATACAATCAATGAAGTGTGGATGGATGACATGTGTTTTGGGGACGGGAATAAGGCAATGATTGTTGAAGAAAGTGACCTTTATAGTTTCCATTGACATGAATGTTTAAACATCACTATTCATAACAGCCCAAATGTAGGAAGAAACTAAATGTCCATTAACTGATGAATGGATAATATGCCATATCCATAAAATGAAGTACAATTCAGCCGTAAAATAGGTAATTCTGAAAATGCTAAAACCTGGATGAACCTTGAAAACACCACGCTAAACAAAAGAAAACCAACAACAACAAAAAACCCCACCTATTGTATAATGCCAAGATATGAGATATCCAGTATAGACAACCACATATACTCAGAAAGTAGATTAGTGGTTGCCAGGAGTAGGGGGGAGGCAAGAAGGGGAAGTGCCTGCTGATGAGTATGAGTTACTTATTGGGGTGATGACGGATGCTCTAAATTCAAATAGTTGTGATGGCTGCACAACTTTGTGAAAATACAAAAAACTAAAGTGCATACATGGAAAGGGTAAATCTTATAGTATATAAAATTATGTCTCAATAAAAATAGTACTATCAAAGAATAGTAATATTCCTAAATGAGGTGGTGAAGGAGAATGTTTCAAAAATAAAAGAGACAAAATGAAAAACAAAAGGAGATAGAAATTTCTAGGGGAGTAATCTTTTTGTATTTTATTGGATTTCTGCTTTTACTGCAGACAGAGTGTGTAGATTCAGAGTCAATGGGAAGCTCAACACAAACGTAATTTGCAATTCTCTTCCTGTCAGATCAATTTGTTCACAATAGTGAAGAAATAAGCCTCAGTTTTGCTAAAGTTAATGCTTTATTCACAGGGGAAAATACAGAAGAAGAAATATAACTATGAATCACACGTTAGCACACACTGAAGCCTGAGGGTGGAAGCTTCAGAGATTTAAGTCCCAAATGCTTCCTGGTAAAATAAAATGCCATCTACCTACTTTTCAGCCACCAGTAACAAGTACAGGAAGACCTGCTCATCTCAGGTAGGTGCCTGAGTCCCCAAATTTAAGAAATATAGAGGAAACTTTTGAAAAAAAATGAGAAATTTGTAAATGATTGATTTTACACTTGCTTACACAGCTTAATAAACTTGGCAATCTATTGTCAAAAAATTATATTTTCTTCTCAGAACTGAACTGACTGAAATTATAAGCATCCACAAAACAGCATTTTAATGATTTTATTTTAATCTAGGTTCACAGAAGAACCTCTTGTCACTGGGGAAGTATGTACATGAATTTAAGTTTTTTTGTTTCCTTTCAGAAATAATTTAGTTACCACATTACAAATAGTGACGTGCAAACTCTACTCCATGTGAACGGCATGCCGTATTGACTGAACTCTTAAAAGAAAAAACAATCACCAACATTCCTATTCTCATATATCAACAGAGATATATATACATACAAACACATAACACACATAAATATACACAAACACAAGGAAGAGAAGCCTACATATCTCAGAAGCATTTATTGTCCCTCACCGCTTACATTTTTTAATTTAAAAGTCCATTTAAAAACCGAAGAGATGTAAATGTATGTGTTATATTCTATTGTTTTCACTTCTTTTTAGCACTTTTCTTTGACGGGTCAAGAGACTTATCTTTTGACACTGGACAGCTCCACAAATAGGTAATGAATATCGTGACAAAACAATAAAAGTTTCTAAAGGAAAGGTTTAATGTTCATCTCATGTCTCACCAAATACTAAAGACAACTTAGACCAGGAACAATAACATAATCATTTCCATTATTATTAATTCATGAAACTCACTGTTTCTAGAACTAACAAAGTTTTTTAAGCCAATCATATATTTTAAGGAACATAACAATAGTAATCATTTTTTTGTGTCCGTGTGACTATTTTCAGGCTTAGGAAATACTTAGTCCTACGTCTTACTGCCTCGTCCCTCTAACATTGTTGTCTCTTCCACATTATTCTGAATGTAGAATGAGATATCAATGCATCTAAATCTACTGCCAGAGATAAGAAAGTTAAAGTCCGGAGAAATAAAACCTACAGAAAATCATATACATCATGAATGACGTGCAGATCACATAAAATTTTTCCAGTGTCTATCTCTTTATTTTTTTACCCTTATCAAACATATAGCAATGACTCTTTAAAGACTGGGTACATGACTGGGTAATTTTCTGAGTATTAAAAGACAGTTACAGAAAGAAATTGTGTTCTGACTTTCAAGTATTTTGTGGATGTGCAGAAAAGATAAAACGTATTTATCCTTTTTTAAATTATTTTCTCATAAATTTAGGTGAGAACAGAGAGGAATGGTTGGAGAAAATTGCTCCTCCTTGAATGGATTCATTTTCTTGGGAATTTCCAATAACTCTGGGATGAAAGTGATCCTGTTCACCATGTTTCTGGTTGTTTATCTCACTAATCTTTTGGGAAATCTTGGAATGATCATTTTAATTAGAATGGATTCCCAATTGCACACACCAATGTACTTTTTCCCCAGCCACCTCTCTCTCTGTGACCTTTGTTATTCCTCAGCAATTGGGCCCAAGATGCTGGTGGACTTATTTGCCAAAAACGAATCAATCTCCTTCTCTGGTTGTGCTCTGCAATTCTTCATCTTCTGCACCTTTGCAGATTCTGAGTGCGTATTGTTGGCTGTGATGGCCTTTGACAGGTACAAGGCCATTAGCAGCCCCTTGGTCTACACAGTCAACAGGTCCAGCAGAGTGTGCTCCCTGCTCATGGCTGGGGTTTATCTGGTGGGAATGACAGATGCTTTGATGCACACGACATTAACATTCCGCTTATGTTTCTGTGGGTCAAATGAGATTAATCATTTCTTCTGTGATTTACCACCACTTTTCCTCCTTTCCTGCTCTGATACACAAGTCAATCAGTTGGTATTATTCACCATTTTTGGCGTCATTGAACTGAGTACCATTTCAGGAGTTCTTATCTCTTATTGTTATATTATCCTGTCAGTCTTGAAGATCCACTCAGCTGAGGGGAGGTTCAAAGCTTTCTCCACCTGCTCCTCCCACTTAACTGCTGTGGCCATTTTCCAGGGGACTATACTCTTTACGTATTTCAGGCTGAGTTCTTTGTACTCCCTAGATCAAGACAAAATAACCTCATTGTTTTACACCCTGGTGATTCCCACGTTAAACCCTGTAATTTATAGCCTACGGAACAAGGATGTGAAAGAGGCCCTAGAAAAATTAAAAAATAAAAGATGATTTTAAATATTTATGTTATGTGTATGCATGCACACTCACACACATTTAATGATCGTGTTCATAAAATTATATATTATGATACATAAGAAACATAATATTCTCACATTTTTAAATAAATAAGTATCTGTACTTTACGGCCATAAGAAAATGAGGCAGCTCCCCAAACCTGTCATGATTCACTATGGTCTTGAAGTTAGTTATGATGCATCTTTTTGTAGAAAACTTTCCTGACTCTTCTAATTTTGCCATATTTTATTTTTTCATTCTTTAATTGAAGCATTATTTCAAGTATACTAAGATTTATTGTGTTCACTGTGTGTTCTTTGTGCATTTATAATCTTTGTACTTCGTAATGAATCCGGTAGTTTCTATATTAAGGATCCTATAATCTAGAAAAATAAATAAACGTTAATTAACTAAATACTCAAATAATTCATAATAAGGCTGAAAACTTTCATAAAGTAAAGGATTGGAGGTAAAATTCTAGAAAAAAATGTCAAAATCTAATCAGTAGAGAAAAGGTTTCCCTGGATGGAGAAGGATATCTGAACAGTCTTAGATCTGAAAACAATGCACGTTGGGGAATGGAAAGGATTCCAGGTAGAGGCTCTGACAGTTACAGAAGTCTTGAGGTGGCCCTTTCTATAATGTTTTACCACTAAAGAAGCCCAACAAAGATAAGTTGTAAAGAGGAATGTACAGTGTCTTGGTAAATTACATCATTGTGCTGTTATTATTAACTATCAACTTCTCCATCACTTCCTCCAAGAAGCTTTTCTTCCATTCCTTCCCTTTCTCAGCTCTGGTTAAATGTCCCTTTTTATAGTTCACAAACAACTCTCTCCTTTAAGCAGTGTTTTAATATCACCCTGTTTATTCAATCATTGTCTCTAACATCAATTGTGAGCAATCTTTGCTCAAGGACTGAGCGTTCCATCCCTGTTATCCAAAGCACCTACTTAGTGTTTGGGACATAAAATGACAAAACAAACAAGTATATAATAAAATAAAACTGTAGATAACATTTTTCACTGCTTACTAGATGTAAGCAACACAAAATTAACTGGAGATCTGGTATGTGGCTTGAATAAGTATATTTTATAACTTTTAAGAAAGTACATAAAATGATTGTGGATATAAAATCTGTAAAGACATGCATGTTAATTACACTAGAAGTAAAGAGCATCTGTCCACCTATGTTCTTGATATTTGTGTATTTCATCTATCTCTGCTGTAGTTTCTGATGGTTAAAGCACTGAATCAGCCTGTTGAGACAACATGGGTATGGCTATATATTTGAAGGAACTTAAAAGATTCAAACTCATTGTTTATTATGCGTTACAATTATAGAGTTTAAAAGTCACAGAATGTCTTAGATTTTCTAGCTGCCATTGCAAAATGTCTTTATGTGAAAACATGTCAAAATCGAAGTAAAGCCCAAGAAGATTCTCTGATTTTCTAAGGAGCATTTGTGGGACACTGTGACATGTCACATAGTATCATGATAGAAACAAACCCTGTGGGGGCTATTTCTTTTTTTTTTGACAAAAAGCTTTAAGGGTTTTCACCTGAACCATATCTCCTCAGTTAACACATACCCTCCTGGAATTGTTACTTCTGAGTAGCAGCATGGTAGAAAACATTGTTTGAAATTTATTGTCTAGGAAAATAGGATGTCAGTGGATTGCTGCTAATTTAGAGGAGGTAAATATGTCATCTAATTAACTTATCTCCCTCCCATATAACAAGTATATATTACAGAATCTAAAGACTGAATTTTTCTCTATATTGACAGTTTTATCAGAATGAGAGGGTTTGAATTAAGACCAGGGAATTTTAAGCCCTATACGTGAAATTCCAAACTTAGAATTGACCAATTGAATTAATTGTGGGCTTCCTCTCCCTGAATTTGATAGGTTGAATAACGCGTTATGGGGAATATTTTCTAGGAGATTCATGACTGAAATAGAAGCTTGGGCATATGTCCTATAATGACATTTTTATCTTGATATTCTACATAAATAGGGAATACCACATCAAAAGACTTGATGTTTTCTATCCTGTCTACTTCAATTCTCATCATTCACTTGCCTTCTTAGTCTGTTTACATCACATCCTTCTCACACATCCCCAGTGACTGATGAAAAATATTATTGTCCAAAGAAAGTATTTTGGGGGTTAAGGGACGGTCTTTAAAGATGGCGACATAGGAATCTTCTGAACTCCTCTTTTCCCAGGACACACGAAATGAACAGCTACATATTGCACGATTCCCTCTGAAGGAAATCAAGAAACTAGCTGAGTGACTCCTACACATCAGAAGAATGAAAAAATATCCACATTGAAATGGCTAGGAAAAGCTGAGACAGACTTTTGTACTAAATCCCACCCCCAGCACAGGGACGTATAATCGGGAGGAAAACCTCTGGCTCTCAGCTTCTCCCTGAGAAGTGAAGGGTTTGGACCCCACATCCAGAGTCCCAACTTTTAAGACTCTCAACAGAAGGACAGGCTTCCAAATGCTCTAGCTCAGAAAGCCAATGGGGCTCGTTTCCACAAGGTCCACAAAAGTGTAGCAAACAAAAACATAGTTATTAAGAGAAGCCAGCACTAGCTGCAGCTATCACACCAGGGCTCGGAGCGGAGATATCAGGCAGAAAAGCCCATCTCTCCGTCTTTCCCTGAATAGAGTCTACATGCACACATTGAAAGCTGCTGCCTGAGGGCCAGGCTGCTAATTTAGCATGTGTCTAGTGGCTGACTGAGATCTTCCCTGGAGACCAGAAAAGTCTGTGGACACTGCCTCCACTCTCTCCCTCTTGCCCACGCCAAGTCTCAAGTACATCCCTGGAAGGAGCATATGTACACATCTGCACCCCAGCTTTTGTGGATGCTCCCAGAGGAACATGTCCCCAGATCTCCTGGCTTCGATAGCCTTCAAGGCTTCCATTTAAGAATGGACAGAAGTTTAAAATCAGATCAAGTGTCTTATCCAAATACTATGGTACGAAACTAGAAAACACATAAAAGAAGAAAACCGGAAAATTCACAAATAGGTAGAGAATAATCAACATGCTCCTGAACAACCAATGGGTCAAAGGAGAAAGCAAAAGAGAATTCAAACAATGTCTTGAGGCACATAAAATAGAAATATCACACACCTAAAGGTAAGAGTGCAGCAAAAGCAGCTCTAAGACGGAAGTTTATAGTGAGAAATGCTTCTGTTAAGAAAAAACACAAACCTCAAAAAAACAACCTAACTTTACACCTCAAGGAACTAGAAAGAGGAACAAACTAAGCCCAAAGTTAGTAGAAGGAATGAAATAACAAACATCAGAGCTGAAATAAATGAAATACAGACTAAAAACGACGTAGAAAACATCAAAGAGCTGATATTTTAAAAAGATAGAAAAAATAGATAAATCTTTAGCTAGACTTACCAAGAATAAAAGAGAGAAGACTCAAACAAATGATATTATAAGCGAAAAAAGATACATTAACTTGATATTACACAAATACAAAGGATCATAAGAGACCACCATGAACAATTATGTACCAACAAACTCTCCCTCAGAAGAAATGGAGAAATTCCTAGAACATCAACCCACCAAGGCTGAATCATGAAGAAAGAGAAAACCTGAATAGACCGATTACTCGTAAGGAGAGTGAATCAGTAATCAAAAAACTCCCAACAAAGAAAAGTCCAGGACCAGATGGCTTCACTGGTGAATTCTACCAACATTTAAAGAAGAATTAATATCAATCCTTCTCAATTGATTATTGAGAATTAATATTGTTTAAAATCTGGAAGTGTGATGCCTCCAGTCTAGTTCTACTTTCTCAAGATTACTTTAGCTATTCAGGGTCTTTTTTGGCTCCATAGAAATTTTAGGATTGTTTTTCCTATTTCTGTGATAAACACTACTGTAATTTTTATAGAGATTGCACATCTAGATTGAAGATGTAGATAGCTTTATATAGTATAGGTATTTTAACAATATTTCGAGAGGACAAAAAATTACACTCCAATACGTCTCATCTTTGTAAAACTTGCAGTGAATAAAAGCGAACTATTTTTTTTAATAAAAAATAGAATCCTGGCTTTCCTTAAAGCATTTTCCATGCACACATGCACGTTTGATCTATATTAGTTGAAACAGTCTCCAAAAGCCTCTTTACTTCTACTATTTTTCCATCACCCGGTAGTCTAACCACTTAAAATATTTAAGAATAAATATTAAATTAAGCGTTACCTGTGCAAGTCATGTTACTAGGACTGCAGGATATACAGAAATTAGCCAATTACTGCTATTATTTTTAAGGAGCCTTCAGTTTAGTAAAAGACACACAAATGAATAAAATAAACATAATTTAAGAAAAAATGCACTAAGTATAGTGGATGTTACGCAGTCATAAAATCATTGAAATCCGGATGGGTGACCTGATTGGAGGAATGGATCACGCATGCTTAATGAAAAGAAAGTATTTAATAAAACCATTGAAAATTTGTTACATTTTTAAGTGGGAAGGTAAAGGATATTGTTTCAGAAATGAAACATGCTAAAACTAATTAAGGATAGAAAATAATTAACAAAATAATCATTTTAGGGGCCGGCCCGGTGGTGCAAGCAGTTAAGTGCTCGAGCTCCACTGCAGCAGCCCGGGGTTCGCTGGTTCGGATCCCGGGCACTCACCAATGCACCGCTTGGCAAGCCATGCTGTGGCAGCATCCCGTATAAAGTGGAGGAAGATGGGCACAGATGTTAGCCCAGGGCCAGTCTTCCTCAGCAAAAAAAGAAGAGGATTGGCAGATGTTAGCACAGGGCTGATCTTCCTCACACACAAACAAAAAATAATCATTTTATTTATTAAATTTAAAATTTATTATAATTTTATTTATTAAATTTTATTTATGAAATTTATTAAATTAATGAATTTAATAGGATACATTATAATTGAGATAAAATAATTAAGTAGAGGATCTATCTGACTTTCATTAG